GCATTTTAGCGACCATAGCGGCAATACTGGAAGAATGTTCCTTACGTTTTTCTTCACAGTAGATTTGGTGAAGAAGTGTGGCAGTATTTAATTGGGAGGAGTCATCGACAGTTGCAACAGTCAGGGTCTTAAAGACCTCATATGAAGTGGGAAGGGCCTCAGAGATAGCGATTGCAAAGCCAGAATCAGAGACAGGTTGACTGAGTACAGCCAGTTGGCTGCATATCTGTTGCATGGCGTTGATCTGGGGTTCAAGTGGTTTAGAGTCATCGAGTTGGAAGCGATGTAGCTTGGAGGTAAGGATGCCAGCGTCATGAGAACCGAAACCATTGTACTTATCAGACAAAGCTTGCCAGACTCCTCGAGCAGAAGTTTGCTCTTCAACAGACATCATAGGTTCGTCATCAATATAGAGTTTTAGTTGAGTCATGGCTAACTTATCCTTTTTTGTCCATTCAAGAAGTATTGGGTCACCAGTGCCGAGCCCCCCTGGCACAACAGCACCATTAGAAGAGGGGTCGACAACTTCCCAAACATTTCCAGCCTCGAGGATGAGTTTCATCCTAGATGCCCAAACTCGGTAATTCTTTCCTTCGTTATCAAGGGGTTTTATGGAATAACGAGAACCATCAGTAGATATGGCAGTGGAAGACATGGAGAGGGGTGAGGTGGATGGGTATGGAGTTCACTGGGCTCATAACCTGTGAGAGAACTAGTGTTACAGATTAGTGCTCAGTTCACGATAGTGTAACTTGATTGTCAAGAAGTATTACCTAGCGTTACAGATTAGCGCTAGACAATGAAAGACATTAAGCAAAGGTCTAATGAGACCAAGAATGAGACCTCACCTCAGTTCATGATAGTGTAACTGAGGAGAGAGGAAAAAATGGTCACGATGAGTGGCTTTTAAGCCTACAACGCTGCCTATCAACAAGAAAGGTAGATTGGGAATAATGGTAAATCTCCTGTGGTGGGTGAGTCCGTGCGCCATAAAGGTGGGATGTCAACCTTGTCTCTAATATGTTCTTGATCACAATCTTAGTCATCTTTCATCCTTGTCGGCATGAGCAACAGTGCCTGGCTGTCACTCCCTGAATATCATCACAGCATGTTTGAGAACACTCATTGTTATGCTTGGTGGATCGGCCCCAGGATTCTTTGGATTCTTGCTGGCCTTGGGACATCATATTGAAACTCATCGATTCATAGCCCGTCGCCTGCATTGTGAGCCAGACATTTATCTTGAGCCTGTTCATTCTCATCTTCGGGCCATGGACCACCCATCACAAGGTTCCGGTCAGTGCAGAATTCTTTCCTTCTATGCTTTCGGCACCCTATCCCTGTCTGCTCTGATATCCACCTTCAGACCTGACATCACCTCCCTCCTCACTCCTCTCTTTACTCCCTTACCTTCCATCCCTCTTCGACCAACCTCTGCCAAGTTACGACCTTCTGCCACTGTCCCATACCCCGTACCTGGACACTGCTTGTGCCTTTGCTCTGAGATTCCATCATGGTCCCGACCTTGGACTTTGACTCCACCTTGGCTTAAGTCCATTGCATTGGTGACCTCATTCTATGTAAACACCATTGCCAATATTCTTTGGACTTCCAACTCCATCTCCATAAGCTCTGTCACCTCCAAGCTTCACCGACCAATCTTGGCACTTTTGCTGCCTGTAGTATACATTTCGCACTTCTCCCTCATCCCTATTTGGACTACTGCTTCTTTACATTCAGCCAGTTAGTCATCAACCCCACTTCACCTCATCCTCCTGCCCCTCTGGGCTTCACCCTCCTTACCTCCTTTCAGATGTACAGTGGGGGACACTCAAAGTCATCCTCTCAGCTCAAACCGATTTTTAGCTCTTTATCACCTCAGATTCACAATCTACAGCCCAAATTACGTTGATTTGACCCCTTTCCAGCATCTGGTACTTAAATTTTGTGTAGTGCCAATTTTCGAGGTTGATTCATAAAAATCTACCTAATCTGAGGGAGTTGCGGAGTCATAACACAGAATTAGCACCAATGAAAACACGCATGCAGTTGAGATCTAAGTGAGCAGTGACTCAATTGCCACACAAGCAGACTCAGGAACTGTGCAATGAGAGCGTTGCTTCCGAACAGCCCATGCAGCAGCTCAACCTGTCAAACCCTTGCAATATGCAGACATAAAGCGATAACTTTGGTTGATGAACCATCGGATAGTCTCTTTGGGGCAGTTATCCAATGCCCAGAATGCAGAAGCCTTTGCAGATTCAAAAGTTGTCTTGATCTCATCACGATATCGATATTTCGTCCATCCCCAATACTAAAGTTACATGGAAACAGAGTGAGTGTGAGGGAGAAAAATAAAGACATTGAGGGACATACCATTTCAATCGGGTTCAGCTCACAATGAAATTTTGGCAAGAACATACACAAGTGGCCAGCCTTTGTGATGCAATCTTCGAGCATGGAGATTTGATTCGCAAAATCATCTTGATGGCTGAGCAAGCGAGCCATACAGCAATCCATGTTCTCATATGGGCAAACAGGTTTACACTTAGCCCTCAGTTTCTTGACATTAAAGCCCCTTTTGACCAGCATTTGTTCTAAACCTTTCACTTCTCCATTGTCAGTTGTCATCTTTTGAACATGTCCTTGGAGAGCCTCAACAGGGTTATTCATCAGGATCACAGTATCCTTCTGAATGCGCTGTTTTCCACCATTCCCCTTGTTCATTTCCCAGGCATGCAAAGCATCTGGAGCAAGAGATGCATGGGCTGAGGACTGGTCAAAAACAAAGAGTGCTTGACAATTTGGGTGAGCCGCTTCAAAAGTTGGGATTGCTTGATTGCACACTTGTGCAATCAACTGATTGGTGTCCCACCAAGCATCACCATTTGAGCCTGGATAGATTACTTTGCGTGCTTCTTGAATGATCTCACCATCCTCATTGCAGTGAACCAACCGACCAGATATGGAGTTAATGAACTCTGAGATGTGGATAAGCCGTCCATGGCTCTTTCTTTGAAGGATTGTGCCATTTACAGGGAGCCTGGAAACAATTATTTGTGAGTCCTACTTACCAAATTGTCGGAGTTGTTACAGGTGCACACCATCCTGATTTCTTGAAATTGAATGCATGATAACAGCACTTATTATGATACAGGGCTATGATCTCTTTCTCCCCCTCCCGGAGTTTTGGTGGTTGTTCCTCAAGATCTGGCCCCTCAAACTGGGTCATGCGATGCTCATACTCAAGCATTTGAGGTAAGAATTCCTCACTCTAATACTTCACGACATCTGGGCACTCATGGCCATCCATATACACTCGCTTTCAGAACTGGACATGCTGATAACCAAGCTTGTGTAACCAGCGGCATGCCATGCACTGGCCCAGTGGCTTCTCTATATCAACATTAAAGTTGGGAAGAATTGTTTCATTTATGGCTGCTGCAAACTTTTGGGGAGTGATGGTGCCAGCTGCCTGTTGTGCAAGCCAGCTGTGGCATGCATGTTTTATGTTGGTGTCACTCAAGAGAGTATTGGCTGCTTGAATGCCACCACAGTGCAAGAGGGCTCGTGGCTCTCTATGCCGACACAGCTCATGGGGGACAACTCTCCCTAAACTCTACTTTCTCCACTAAACTCACTACATTCTCAATCCTTAAACTCCATGTGGGCCCTCCGGGATTCCACAAGGTCCGGGCTCAACAAATCCACTACCCACTTGTTGCAGGCTAGATTGTTGCCCTTATTCCTACTGTTGGATTCCACTCACTCACACCCACTCTAGCACATCCTAGCACCTTAGAGAAATTGGGGGAGGGGAGAACTTCTTTTCAAAATCCGGTATGTACAGGATTATATCTAATAATTATTTTTAGAAAGAATAGATGGGGAATATTGGTACCATATGGCACCTGGATACCTTATTAGGCGAAATAATAGAAAAGGGTAACAGTATCAATAAAAGAATATTGATCAATAACTGAAATGATGGCAAAATATGAAAATAAAAGAAAATAAGCGATATTTCAACGGATTTATCTCAGTTTAATCCCATTTCACGTGACTAATCAGGTGGATCCGCGCGCGCCTCAGAGGAGGCTGTCTTGTTCTGCACTGTCGCAGTGCGGATGGAACAAGACGGACGAAACCCTCCTCCGGGCCCAAACTTGGTCTCAGACCAGCTGCGGGAAGAGACAAGTTGCATCCGGGAGCGAGATAAATAGCGCACCTTATCCACTCCCCACCTGCCTGCGCAATCGTACTACAACGTCTAACTGGTAAGTTAACGGTAGTGCGATGAGGCTTCTAACCGTGTGTGCTGGCCCCGCTCCTCAGGCCTGCACACGGTTATCCCTGCTCTCGCTATCCACTAAACGCGCGCTTACTCTTACTTTCATAGTTCTTAACTGAATCTCCGCGCTTCCCACCTCCTTCCCCATCGCCTCCGTTGCGTTACATCATTTTTTCACTTGCTACCCTCTCCTGCATTTACTATTAATGTATTTAATTGACGTACGGCTCGCATCGCTGGCGCACAATCATACGCATTGCAGGTCCATACGGACCGTGTCCACTAACTCATGGACCGCTCACGGAACCGAACTGATTAGCGGAATTAAGAGCCTAAATTGGAAATGTGACTGAATAGAACTATTATGCGGCCAATGAGCATTTTTACCGATTTGTTAGACGCTGTGGGAACAAGTGAGGCTGGAATTCTGGGTTGCTACTTGAGATTCCCATGCCTGCATGTACTCGTGACCTGCTGTGCCTAACTTCTCCAACACAGAACTCCATCAAATCTCCACCGATTGGGACGTTCTTGGTATCGTCAGAATCGTACGAATTAGGACTGATTTTAGATACCAAATTTGTACTGAGTCGTCACGTGAATGAAAGTGGTTTCCTAATCATAGAATCGGGTATCTGAGCTGAGTGCATGGGCAATTATCCCGCCTACAATGGCACTCAGGAGGGAGACTCCCATACCTTTCATAATATCATGCAAGCATGCATAAGCGGCGTGCAAACCAAATACCAGCATGCACATGGTAAGTATTGGCAAGCAGAGCACTAGCATCCACTGCTGAAAACCCCTTGACCCGAAGGTTCCCATACTGCCATAACATTGTGTATCTTTGAATCTAAGGTCAAAGTTTAGCACGGCTTAAATCACCAGTGTTCATTAAACACACCTCACTGAGTCGCATTGTAACCCTTCTCTTTTGCTTCTCAAGCATCTTATCAATCTGGTCTCGCAAAACCTTCCAGTCTTTGATCCCCTCCATTACTCTTGGACCCGCTTCATCACCCTGGATCAATTCATCAACCTCTTCATCCATCTCACTGTCAATATCTGATTCATCTGATTCAGTGGCAGTGCATGCAATTTCCTTGGCTGTTCTAAGCCTAGTGTGGCCAAGCAGCTTTGTGGAAGCCGGAATTTGTGGTGGGAAGTCTTTGTTGCCAACAGGTGGGGGGTCATCTTCTATTTCGATTGCTGGGGAGTGGGGAGGGCTGGACCTAGGGGATACGCTGAAATATCCACTTAATAATGTTTGCCCTTTCATTCAGTGGTGATGGCGAAATTGGGACCAATGTGATTTGTTTGTGATAACAGGGCCAGTGCTGTAGGTTTTTCTTTTGGCTGAAAGATGTCAGTCTCCCTTGGAGAATATACAGTTAAGGACCTCACATTCTGGAATGGACTCTATAGCAAATGGGTTTGCTGTTCTTTTTTTTGCTTGGTTGTGTGGCTTCCAATTGGGGTCTAGGAGAAGTCCTTTTGACTTGATTTTCTTCAGCTCTTCAAAAATGAGAGCCTCTTCTTCTGCAGTCAATTTATCTTCTTATCTTCATCATCTTTCTCATTGTCATTGTCATCAGTTTCATTTGTGCACATGAGCTGGGATGAGTGAGTGTCATATCCATCCCCAGCCATCGACTTCCGATCCCTCCGACTCCTCTGGTCTACCTCCACTCCTTCTTCACTAACCTCAGAGCTCCCATATTCTGCAATCCCCTTGGTACCCCTCGATGGTCACCACCCCCTCCTTTCAATTTATTACCTACACCTCCCTAAGTACAGAGCCCTGAAGGCTTCCAGACAGCTCCGATGTCCGCTAGCGCACTCCTGCCTCCACTGGGCGATACACTCACTTGCCCTGCAGAGCCCACCTTTGGGCCTATCCCTCCTTTCCATTTCTGGGTTATCACCTGCCTTTCTGTTAACCCCATAACCCGACTCATCGGTAATATTCAATCAGCTAATGTTTAACCCTGTTAGCTCCACTCCGCTTGGCTCCACCATTTGTGGACCTGCCCTCGCTGTAACTATATATACTCAACTTGTACATAGGTTACACTTCAGTAATAAAATCGACTAGAGTTTACCCCCCTTCAGTTCTGGTTGCCAGTTTAGTAAGTTAGGGCATGGATGTGTTACTTGGCACAGCGCTCCTGGCATAAGTTGCTGAGGCCGAAGCCCTCCGCCATGGAGACATTCCCTCGTCTCAACCTGGTCTCTGACAGTGAGCCCCAGAGAACATGCCCTGATTTGGATGTAAGAACCACTCTTCAGCATCAGAAAACCAGTCAGAATTAGAGTCATTGTCCTCAGACATCAGAGCTAAGCTTTTTGAGGTGCATTGTCAGTGTTGAATCAAGCATGCAAAAACTTCCAAATTTGGGTCACATTCATATTTTGGCTTTTTTGAATACTGATTGTGAGCTTGAGTGTAGAACCACAGTGTATACATCAAAAGCTGTGAATTGGCAGTTTTCCAGGCTGCAGTGCTTAATTATTGTGATAGTGCCAATTTTGGGTGGCACAAAAAAAAACATCAATTCTCAGGAAACTAATTATGCCCATAGCTTAATATATGCCTAAACAACATTCCTATGAAGTTTGTCAGGGTGTGGGAAAACGTTACCGTGACTCGCCATTGGCAACCGTTAAGGTCTGCTACTTCGGCGTAACAGCCCATTAAGGGCGGGGAAGACAATCGCGGCGAAGTGGGGTTTTGGCTTCAACGACTTGTTCATGAGCGTTGTGCCTCATACTTGACATGGCCCTGATACTTCAGAGGTCAGAGGGTGCGACTGAGTCAGACAGAGAGTGCAGGGGGTAACCCTAGTTGATTTTCGAACTAAAGTACAAGGTAGTATACAACCGGTATTTAAGTGTAACGGAATGAATAGAAATAAGTCACCAGATCTCACGGAGATTGCGGGCAGGCTTAAGAAGGAACGAAAACAAACAAAGAGTGTGGGAGAAGGACAGCCATGCACAGCCGTCAAGAAAAACAAGCATGATAAGGAATGACTCATAGGCCTGTGATGGGCTGTGGAAACAGGTAGCAGTGATGGGGAAGGGTGACGGGCTTGTTCAGGTGGCATCGGGCAGGCAGCAGAGTTGACGGGGTTGAAGCGGAGGAGGGAGAAGGTGTGGGGAGTGATCACCTGACCATGGGAATTGCCAGGTTGTGACAAAGTTCCAGTGCCATTGGAGCACATGAGTCTAAGAGGATGACTTTGAGCGTCCCCCACTGTACCATAGAGTCTAACCCTTGACCCTCAGTACTGTTCTGCTTCCGTAATTCCCTTTGTCTCCATTCAGATGCCTTTGTTCCATTTTGGACCACCCTTGTTTCCTTGTGCTTTCATCTCTCCATTATATGTAGGTGCTTGTACATACTTGATTAGACCCTCAGCCTAAAATCGACCAGAAATGCCCCCTAGAGACTTCCTCTTTGCTATGTCTGAAATTAAGGACCACATGGACAAACAGCAATGGCACAGTGCTCCCCTTGAGTTGCTGAGGCCAAGGTCCCTCCTTGCTAAGTCTCCCGGTTCCACTCCGGAATTGTCCACACTCACCCCATTCTGACACCACCTGTCAGGAACTCATCTGGGGTTGAGGAGGCCCAGGTGTAGCGCCGTAGGCAGGATAATCGCCCACATGCAGAACCAGCTCAGATACCTGCTTCTGTTAGACACTGGTCCGGGGTCAGCACCAAGGGTCGCCGTTGCGGGCCACTATAGGCCGCGATGGCCATGATGCCGTGAACAAGGCCCGAGGGTAGGGCATTCGGCCTCAGCAACTCTAAAGGGAGTGCTGTGCCCCCTAGCTGTCTCTTGGCCCTCATTTCAGACTCACTGGGGTTGCCTTGCTGGGGTCAGGACTTAGGGGTCATGGTCACATCGATATTAGAGCTAAGGTACAATAAAGTATCATACAGGATATATATAGGAAGAAGAAATGAATGGAAGCGGACCCGGGCCAGAGGCCGAAGGGTCTGGAAGCAAACAAGAAGAAGGAGCGGGGTTGGCCGCATAGCGGCCGGCAATGACCGAGGGTCAAAACAAACAATAACAGATAAATAAAGGAAAGAGCATAGGGCCGCGATAGCGGCGATGGTATCGTAGTGGCGCTGGACTCGGAGTTGGGCCAGAGTCAGGCGCGGGGATGATAGCGGCCCTGTAGGGGCCAAGTGGGCAGGGTAGGGGAGTTGCGCTGGGCACGGTGCCAGAGGCGGACTCAAGGTGGGAAGGTTGGTGCAGCAGCAGGGGAGTCGGCCAAGTGTAGGGGAGCCTAGGGGCAAGTGGGGAAGTGAGCAGGGAGTCCTCAGGGAGGATAGGGCTGAGGTTGGGGCTCGCACTCACGCTCGCATAGCGGGAACGGGCTTGGGTGGCATTGGGATGGGCGGCTAACAGGCCGGAATGCACAGCCGTGACAGCTTCCACCATTCAGAAAACCCCTTCCATTCATGCGATGACTCAGTACATATTTGGTATCTAAAAATGGTGCTAATTCATATGATTCCAACGATACCAATAATGTCCCAATCGGTGGAGATTTGACAGAGTTCTATGTTGGGCAAGTTAGGCACAGTGTCAGGGTCACGTCCAGGGTCAAGGTGGTCTGGGCATAGCGTCCGGTGCTGAGGACCTCACGAGGGGTGGATCGGGTGTGTGTACTGGCAGCCCCGATGTGGGACAGCGATCCCTGGCCACTTAGACTGAAGTGGGAATGTTGAGTTATTATTAAAAGGGGAACTATGCTACTTACCTGAAGTGGGAATGTTGAGAAGAAGGTTACTTCTTTGGTTCCCACCCCAGGTGTGTTTATATACATGCGGCTTGGGTCACATGAGGTCCGCCACGTCACCCTGCATACAGCTGCAGTCACCTGGGTGTCCCTGTGGGGGATCCCGAGGGTGTATGCTGCATGCTGAAAGAGGGCTCGCGGCTCTCTATGCCGACTAAGCTTGTGGGGCCAAACTCTCCAAAATCCTACTTTCTTGACTAAACTTCGCTATGCTCTCGATCCTTAACTCCGTGGTGGGTTCTCCGGGATTTCCGCAAGGTCCGGGCTCAGTGTTATAGAAACGGATCTAGAATCTTATGGTCCGTGACTATAGGCAAGCAGACTTTGGGATTCCATCACCTTATTTCGCTGTCAAACCCCATGCCAAGCTTTCCCACTGGGTTTTGGTGCTGGCTGGGGGATTTGTTGAGTTTCAAGGGATTTCCCTTGACCATTGTAATATTTATATTAGATAGTTACGAGTCATATGACATGTAAGGCAGTTGCCGGAATTGTTTTCGGATTATCGAATACATAACCCAAAAACCTTGTACCGCAATTGTAACATCCTCACCATTGTGCCACCACTGTAAACTCAACCTGTAACCTTGGAACCATGTCCACCTCCCTATTCATCCTCTCCATGACAAAACCGCAACGAGGAGGACATTCCCACACCCAACCTCCTGCTGCCCGCTCCCACCAGTCCACCGGGTGGTTGAGCAATCACTCCCATCCAACCAGAAGTTCCCTATCAGGAACTGTAGCCTATCCCACCTCCTTAGGAGAGGGATATGGTCCAGGCAGCTCCAGGATGCCTGGCCACGCACCCGTGGGTCCCACTTCCCACGGTCACCCACTACCGTGCACTGGTCCACCAACCCGCTTTCCCCAACAACTCCCGCTACCGGTACGCTCCCATGAGCGCCAAGTCACCGATAGCCACCATCTGGGTGACTCCCTTTGGGAGTCCCAGTATCCCTCATGTCAGGGCAATAGCCCCGAACCCCGAGTCACATGTAAACTAGATAGATATAGTCACGTGGACAAGCGGGAACCTCCGGGTAACCGCTTACACACCACCGTAAAATACATCATCTTGTATCACTTATGGCTTTGTGTGCTGAGCAACCCCAAAGACCTCACACTTTTTTAAGTGCATGAGGTGTGTTTTACAACACAACCCACAACTATAAAATCTCAACATCTGATTCGGAAGCGCTTATGGCGCCTAAACACGCCCGCAAGGGCAAGGTCGCATCTGCAGCGACGTTAAAAAGAAGCGAGCGGTTTATTAAGAAACCGCAATCTCCCATCATGGGAGATTCAAACCAAAAGCCGTCGTCAGATGACGACGAGGATCAACGCGATCCGGGAAAAGCAACCACTTCAGGGCTGGTCCCTGAAGACTTTAGAAACTTACGTGGAGTAAGTGCGGGGCAAAATACCCCCAGAACTCCACAACAAACCGATCTAACCCAA